ATTAATATAAAGCTTTACTATTATGTATCAAAGGATATGTAAGATCACAAAATTTAAATAAATAAATTCGAATACATCTGTTTGTACATCATGCAAAAAAGAAAAATACATAAAAAAAACTCTATAATTCAAACGAATTTTATTATGTATGTAACACGAAGATCTTCTACTAAAATTAAATGTGACAATTGCAAATGTTGATCAAAATAGATTTCCACTATGCTCAACAACAACAATAATGATAATAGTAATTGCAATTCTTCATATTCATATTCATCTGAAAAGCAAATTGATCAAGTTTTAAAAAATTATAATAATAAGAACAATGATGAAAAACAACACGAAATTAAAGTAAAAGGAAAAGAAAGGGAAAGGATTGTTGATTGGTCGGACGAAGACGATTGGCAGCCAGTATCAATCAAAAAATATTTAAATAAAATATCATCCAATCAACAACAGCAACAACAACAACAACAACGACAACAACAACAACAACAACAAGATCCTTCCTCAATTTATTTCAAATACGATAACCCGTCAATAGACGTGGAACTATCGGAAAAGCAACAAATGGTTTATGACCTAGTGGTCAATAAACGTGAGAACGTATTTTTTACCGGTTCTGCAGGAACCGGAAAAAGTCTTCTCCTATTAAAAATCATTATGGCTCTTAAAAACATTTATGGAGTCGAAAAGATTGCCGTAACTGCTACAACCGGCATAGCAGCAGTTAACATCACCGGCACAACTTTACACTCCTTTGCAGGCATAGGATTAGGTACCGAATCAACAAAAGAGCTTATTAAAAAAATTAAAAAATCAAAAATTCATCGTTTCCAATGGCAAACTATTGAAGCATTGATTATTGACGAAGGTATAATTGGGTTTTTTTATCTTATTGATGGAATAATGATAATTATCATTTGATTATTTATTAATTATTTAATTATCTTATAATTTATTATATAGTATCAATGCTTGATGGAGACTTGTTTGATAAATTGGAAGCAATTGCACAAGCTATTCGTGATAATAATAGACCGTTTGGTGGAATATTAGTAAGTTATAATAATAGAATATGTTATATATTGATATTTAATGATTTAATGATTTTTGGAGGTGATTTTTTTTCAATGTTTACGCGAATATATATTTGTATATTTTATTTATTAGTTAATAGTCACGGGTGATTTTTTCCAACTACCACCAGTTTCCAAAGATCGTAATGTTAAATTTTGTTATGAATCGAACTCATGGGGTAAATGTATAAAACATATAATACAATTATCCACCGTTTTTAGACAGAAGGAATCTGGTAAAGAATAGATATTTATTATTATTATTAATTTGTCTATTTGATAAATTGATCTAATTTTAATTCTGATTCTATAGATCTTATTGATATGTTAAATGAGATTAGGTTGGGCATTGTGACTGAAAAAACATTGAAAATAATGAATAGATTAAAACTTTCACCACAATATCCTAATGATGGAATTCAAGCTACAGAATTGTAAGTTGATCAATATTCATATATATATATATAATATATACTTATATAATATTGATAATTAATTATTTGTTTATTTATTTGTTAAATTACAAGATACTCAAGAGTTGATAAAGTTACTAGTGCAAATCTTGTGCTTTTAAGTAAAATTCAAAATAAATCATATATATACCATGCCAAAGACTATGAACCGACCAAAATTGGTCAATTAAAGACACTTATTAAAGGTTGCTTGGCACCAGATAAATTGGAATTAAAACGTGGTGCGCAAGTAATGCTTATTAAAAACATCAATAGAGATTTAGTTAATGGGAGTAGAGGTATTGTTGTTGGTTTTTATTCAGATGCTACTAGAAAAAGTTATTATGATGGTGAAGATGAAATTATGGAGTTTGACCAGCGAGATGAAATATTACCAATAGTTAGGTTTACTGAAAATAGAGAGTTGGTTGTTCGTGAAGCTGAGTGGAGATTAGAAACTGTTGGTAATGTTGTATTAGCAAGTAGACGACAGGTGGGTATTTTTGTATTTATGTATATGTATGTGTATAGTTTTTTTTTTGTAATATATATTTATTATATATTTAATGTAATATTAGATTCCTCTTATACTTGCTTGGGCAATTAGTATTCATAAAAGCCAGGGCCAAACACTGGAAAGAGTCAAAATTGATTTAAAGGAGGTTTTTGAAAAAGGTATCTATATATAATATACTCTTTAATAATGATGATTTATGTATAAATAAATAAATTATTATGTTTTTTGTAAATAGGACAAGCATATGTTGCTTTGTCTCGAGCTAAATCATTAGAATCTTTACAAGTTTTAAACTTTACAAGAGAAAAGGTAATGGTTCATGAAAAAGTAAAGAGATTTTACGGGTCACTAACAGATTAATTAATGAATTGAATATTAAATATTTATTTATTTTTTATTTTTTGTGTTTATACATATTTTATTCGTATATTAGTTTATTAATTTAGAATTTTATTAGCAATTAGCAATTTTTTATTATTTCTTTGTTTTTTTTTTCTTTGATTTTTTTAATGTATATATATATTTGATAATCGAATTCCTCTTTTACACAAAAACAAAAGATCATATCCTATATAATATCACGTAACACGAATATTATTATATGTAATGAATAAATAATAATTCACAAGATATTGTTATCACACATGTATTTTAACATTCTTCTTCTGCCTCATCTTCTTGTTGATTAAATGAATGCATTGTTCTAAATGTTAAACTGACTCTACGACTTCTAATTATTTCTTTATTACCATAATATTCTATATAATCATTTGAGATTGAATGTTTATAATCAAATCTCGATGATTTTGTCATGATTAAAAGTGATCTTGGTTCTTTAAAAGAAAAAAAATAGTTAATAATCAAAATCTCCTTCAATGTAGGTTTAATTATAGGTTTATTTACTTAGCAATATAGAGTGTTGATTTGAAGAATCTTCTGAATGGGTTTAACTACTTCAAGATAAAAATATGTAGTTGTGGGTAATTATTTTTAATTACTCAAGTTCTAGTAAATTTAGAAACATAAGATCTTGTATACATAATCTTCGGAACCTAAGCTATAAACTGACATAAATTTTCTGTATACTTGTTATGTACGTTTTTGTGTAATTAATACATTTAGGGTGTCTGATACTTTTGTCAGTGTAGCACGTGTAGCTGCATACAACATTTTATTTCTTACCTATGAACATTAATTAATGAATCAATTCAATTCAATTCAATCCAATCCAATCCAATCCAATCCAATCCAATCCAATCCAATCCAATCCAATCAATGAATAAATTCTAGAAGATAATTAAACAACAAACCTTGGAATGATCAGGGACATAAGCAGCAAATAACCATTCATAATCTCCAGATGAAGATTTACTGTCAAGACGATCTTTAAATTTTTTTTTATAAAGGTCAAAATATATCAAAATTTAGAAATAAATTATTGTTATCATCAATTGTTATCATCATCATGGTTTATTAACTAACATAGTATAAAACATGGAACCTCTTCTTCTAAAAATTCAGCAATCTCAGAAAAATCTATTATTATTTGCAAGCCATTTTTAAATTTTCTATTATGTTAATTAAAATGAAGGAGAATCGGATAAATCTCGAAATGATTTATTGACACACATATATATCACTATACCCGATTTCCAATCACTTTTAATTTCTCTTGTACCATTGGGAACGAGCGACTCTTGTATAAATTAAAGCAAGGTAAAAAAATTCATTATTTTATTATTTTATATGTAATATTCACTTTGTCGTATAAATAATGAACTAAATACCATTAATTATTGATACACGTATTATTCTTAAATCTCCTTTAGCAACTGCATTTGCAAACAATTCTCCAAGTTCTTCAGAAACTATTTAAATAGTTATCACAAAATGCTAAAATTAAAAAAAGATCATAAATATTATCTATTTATTCAAAATAACCTTGAATTCCAGTTTGATGAGACATTTTTTAAATAAATATCTTGTAAACAAATTTTTTGTGCATATCAAAAATTGAGATCTACATTAAATTTTTTTCTACGAAATGTCAGACCAAGAGGCTGATGATAATTTCGAAGAAGATAATGATTTTATTAATAATGATAATTCCAATTCACAAAGAACAACATTTCAAGATTTGGGTGTAAATCAATGGTTAATTGATTCTTTAAAAGCTATGTCAATAAAGTATCCAAGTGAAATACAAAAACATTGTATACCACCTATACTATCAGGTAGAAATTGTATAGGTGGAGCAAAAACAGGCTCAGGTAAAACTATAGCTTTTGCACTTCCTATTTTGCAAAAATTATCAGAAGACCCATATGGTATTTTTGCATTGATTTTAACACCCACAAGGTATTTTTTTAATGAACTTTTTTTATATTAATAAAAAACTATTTAATGATTATCATGGTCATTATCATTGTTATTGTTATTGTTATTATTATTAGGGAACTGACATTTCAAATAGCAGATCAATTTAAAGTATTAGGTAAAAGTATAAATCTTAAAAGTAGTGTAATAGTAGGTGGACTTGACATGATGAATCAAGCAATTGAATTGTCAAGAAAACCACATATAGTGATTGCCACACCAGGACGTTTAGTAGGTCATATAAATAATAGTGGTGTAAAATCAAATCTTGCTAGAATTAAATTTTTGGTAATTTTAAAAATTATATTATTATTTTTAATTTATCCAATTTTTAATTAATTGATTTGTTTGCAATTCAAAAAAATCAAGGTTCTTGATGAAGCAGATTTTTTATTAACCGATACATTTACAAAAGATCTTAAAATTATATTTGATTCAATACCTGAAACTCGTCAAACATTATTATTTACAGCAACAATGACAGAAAATATTCTAGAATTAAAAAATTCCCCAAAAAATCCTTTTATTTATCAAGTAAAATCAAGGTTAGTATATATGTATATATATGTATATATAACATATTACAATATATTAACAATAATTTTAATCTTAATCCTTAATTATCTATCAATAATCAATCAAGTATTTCAACAGTGTCAAAACTTTTACAATATTATATATTCATACCATCACATGTAAAAGAGCCTTATTTAATTTATTTATTAAGATCAAAAATTAATGATGAACTTTTATCAAATAAATCAGTAATAATATTTTGCAATCGTTGTCGAACAGCAGAAATGTTAAGAGTGATGTTGATAGAATTAGGATTAAGATGTACAAGTTTACATTCTACCATGAGTCAACAAGAAAGATTAAATAGCTTGGGAAAATTTAAAGCTGAAGTAATTAAAATATTAATATCTACAGATGTTGGTAGCCGGTAAGTTACCAATTTGTATCATCATTGTTTATTATTGGGAAATTTTTTTAAATTAATGATTTTTATTACATATATTTATTTATATATATAGTGGTCTTGATATTCCAACTGTTCAGCTTGTAATTAATTTTGATATTCCAAAAGATCCAACTGATTACATTCATAGAGTTGGCAGAACTGCAAGAGCTGGTAGAGGTGGATTGGCAATATCAATTATGACTGAACATGATATAAAATCAATTCATAATATTGAAAATAGAATAAGTAAAAAATCGACATTAATTATTTGATTGATTGATTAATATTGATTTAATTAATAATTAATTAATTTATTGAAAGATAAAAAATTAGAAGAGTGGGAAATCAATGAAAATAAAGTAATCGAAACATTAAATGAAGTATCTGCTGCTAAACGTGCTGCTAATATGGTAAAATAAATAATCATATAATATCTATTTTCCAAATAAATAAATTATACCCATATTCATTTTTATAAATATCTTTTAGCAACTTCATGACACTAAATTTGGAGAAATTAAAGAAATTCAGAAAAAGAAGAGAGAGATAGAAAATGGTAGTTATGATGATAATAAGATTAATAATAAAAAAGTAAAGAAAGTTAATAAATCTAAAGAAGTTAATAAATGAATAATATTCATCATTGAATTTATATTTTAGACAAGCATGTATATAGTTATTATAAGTATTATATAAAGATTAAAAATAATTTTACAAATAAAATATACATAATCTCTCGAGTTTATTCTCCCCTCCCTTCAATCTAACTAAAGACCCACCAACACATGTTTAGTAAAAAATTCCTCAAACAATATTAACCTCTGTTGCTACTTTTGAAGTTCCATTATCATCTTTTCGACACTCGTTAAGGTAAAGCCAAAAACTTGACAATTAATCAGCTTTAGGACGCGTCACTAAAAAAATTGTCAAAAATTAAATCAATAATATCCTAAACTAAAACAAATTTCCTTGACTCACATTTTTGATCCAAAGATTTATAAAAATAAAATATAACACATTTAAAAATCTGGTTTTATAACCAGAGTTTGGAAAACCCTGAAGATTGAAAAAAAGATATTCATTTTAAGGGATTTTGAACCTTCAAAGGAAAATATCTCAAACATTTTACGATGCAAAGTGGGTATGGTTTCTAAGCCAAAATGTCGAGTCTTCATCACATTACAATTAGATTGACGTTATCTAGAACCACAGAGCTCTTTTTTCTTTCAAGCTAGTTGTGGAAGCCTTGCAAACTTTTACGTTGTGTAACTCGGAACTTCGAATTGCAAATGTCCAGTCCCGATTAGAGAGGGTGTTATCTGGGGCTTTAAAGTCTTCTTTGTTGTAGATGATTCGCCTAACTACATTTATTCATTTCGAGATAGCTTATTTATTTTGAAAATGATTTGTGTCTTTTGGAATCAACATAATTTTCCGACAAACAAAGGCCATTTCTATGAGAGCAACTACCCTTGTGTGTTCAATAGTTATCTGGATGCCTGGATTTTGATTTTTTTACACTAGTACTAATAAGAGTTGCCTGCATTTACACAGTAGCAATTTTTCCAGGGTATTAGCAACTACAATAGTTAATTTAGCTCGTGGCATTATTTTTTAATTAAAAATATAGAAATGGCGAATTTTTTAGAACGATGATTAATATCTAAAATTGGATTGCCAATTTCCAAGTTTATGTATGAAAGTTAGTAAAAAACAGTTGAGGAATATTTCACATTCCTTTTGATTTTTTTATTTTATATATTGAATCATAATAATAAATACCGGCATGTTGATTAATCACGTGATTGGCGTGGACATAAAAATTGGCAGAATTTTTATTATTATTGCAAGTTTATCAGCACTGAAAATGAGTAATTTTATCCCGATTTACCGATTTATCTATTATCGGTCTGTAATAGATTACTTTTTTTTTCGATTAATAATAAAATATTAATATGTCAAAAACACGAACACAAAAATAGATTATTTTATGAACGTTCTTTTCCTTCTTCAACCCACATAAACAACAAATTAATTAAAAATAATTACATTAAACAATAATAACACCTATACGCGTTCTTTCCTTCTTACAACATGAATAACAAGTTAACAAAAGCTAATCGCAACAAAATCACATCAACCAACAATAACAATAACAACAATAATTATTGTTATTACGATAATGATAATGATAATAATAATAATAATAGCAACAATAAAAACAATGGAAGCAAAAAAATTTTTGAACCAATTTTTATAAGCGCTAAAACCTTACATGACTTGTCAAATGTCGGTGATAACAATGTTAAAAACATTAATAATAACAATGATAGTGATAACAACAACAACAAAGCATGGTGGAAATTCTATTTATGTCACAATTTGATGATCACTGTGATAAATTTAATTTATGTTGTACGATGTAAATTCAAAATACGTGTTGTTATGGGTAACACCATCATTAAATAACTATTTTTTAAAAAAATTATGCAGTTATTATCTTTCCTTACGCACTTTCATTTAAAGATTTGGGATGCGAATCAATCTAAAGGTTACATATGAAGCAAAAAATTGTATAATTTTTAGTCAAATAAACGGAATCCAATATTAATATATAAGGTATATAGATAAAATTTATTATAAAATATATGAATGATATGATATATATAAGAACAAGCAACATACTAAGAATGTTTCCCATTCATTTACTAATTCATTCCTTCCTTTTCAATCTATTTTCTTTTGTTCCAACTTTAAGATCAAAATTACAACCTTCGTAGAGAATAAATTATTATTATTAAAGTTAGTTTATTTCACTATTTTTTATTATAAGAAAAGCATATTAATATACAGTACCTGGACAAAAGTATCAGACACCCTAAATGTATTAATTACACAAAAACGTACATAACAAGTATACAGAAAATTTATGTCAG